ATGTCGCGTACGTCATGAACAAAGCGGAGGTCATTGCGGCGCGGCCGCCGTCACGCCTTTAAGCAGCGGGGCCGGGCGCTCGCCCCGTTCCGTTCGGCGGGGTGTCGGGCGGCAGCCGAGGGGCGGGCGGGGGCGGGGGGGGGGGGGGCGGGCCGGGCGGGCTGGTCCTGTGATTTCTGGGTCGTGGGAAACCGCCGGCGTGTGCGGCGTGCGTTAGGGAACGTGCACGGAAAGACCAGAAAACTAGAGAGAAGCATCGTCATGAGGTGCACAGCCAGCCAGCAAAACAAACCCCCCTTCGTCATCTCAACAAAATATTTCCACGTGTTCTCTTCCGCGAGTGTGATTTTAAAGTGAAGAAATACACTGGCCTCAAAGAAGATGTTTAAGATACTCAAAGTTGTTGCTGCAGCTGCATTATAATGTAATGTTTAGAAGACTGACTGTTTATCAGTGTCCAGTACAAAGGGAAATTCCTGAAATTTATACTCAGGAATATACGCTCTTTTTGCCTTTCAGCATCTTGGAGTTCCCCTACTCTCTGTGGGAAGGATTTCTTTTTAAAGACAGTCATTAAAAGAGTTGGAAAAGCTGTGTTTTGGTATCCACATCTCTGCTTTAAAATACTACTATTAGATGAGGTTACTCTTTGTTGAAATAGCAGATTACAGGTGCATTTTGTGTATGCCGTACGTTCAAAGTCTGCTCTTGCATTTTTCAATGCACCTTCCCTGGCCTTTTAATACTACGGTAGAATAAAATGCCTCGCCGTGTATTACAAGACACAGAGTTTGTCCCCTTCATTAGGGAAGCACTTTGGGGAAGGCACTTTTGGTGCTTTGGGAAGCACTTTTTAGGGAAACAGGAACTGGTTAAAGCTGTGATGGACGCACTGGATGTGAAAACAGGAACATTTCTCCTATGTCAGATAGGGAGTCTGTCTCCAACTGTGACTAAAAGCCCAAGAAAAATATTAAGACTACAGAGGGCCTTTAATGATACTCTCCTGGAATCCTGTCCCAGTCTCCAACCATCTGGAGGGCCTTCCCAAGGCAGACATAGTGTCTGGTTATTTAATAACCCTTGCTGGATTTCTCTTTCATGAACTTGCTGGTCTCCCCTTGAACTCAAGTCATCTTCTTGCATTGATGGCATGCCATGGCAAAGAGCTGCTCCGCATAACACCACGTTGTGTGGTTTCATCTGAAACCTCACCTTTTATCTGTACCTTCTACCTGCCAGCACCATTTGATGACGCTTTTGTACTGGAAGAGATGGCAAGCAAGCAACCCCTATGCATCGTGTCCACAACGCTTTTGATTCTTATGACCTCCGTTTCTCCAGGCTGAGGATTCCTCCCCTGCCAGTCTTTCCGTGTACAAAGCTCTTCCATTCTGTAACACTGGAGTTTAATGTCAGTTTTTTTTTTTCTCTTGAGAAAAAGGGGATGGAAAATGGAAGTAATTCTCAAGCAATCAGCCTGAGGATTCCTCCCCTGCCAGTCTTTCCGTGTACAAAGCTCTTCCATTCTGTAACACTGGAGTTTAATGTCAGTTTTTTTTTTTCTCTTGAGAAAAAGGGGATGGAAAATGGAAGTAATTCTCAAGCATTCAGCCTGATTGCCACAAAAGTAACCAAGTGAGAAAATCCTCAAGAGTTTGGAATCAAAGGTTCAATATTTGACTTAGACCAAGGAAAGAGAGATAGTTGCTCAGTGCCATGGACATGATGGAGTGGAAGTCATGTTTCTTTCATGATATAGCTTCCAGAAGTTTACTCCATCTATGTAGCAATTTTGTCAGCTTCCGAAGTATGGTTTTGTTTCAGAAGAGCAATTACATATTTTTGGTTTAGTGTTATCACGTCTGATCAACCATATGAGTGTCACAGTCTGTGTTGCAGGATCCTGAGGCAGACTGTTCTTACTGACGTCTTTGTAATGTAGTAAACAGTAAGTGGGTGATCTTGGAGATGAAGCTGTTCACAAAGTAGCTACATCACAGGCTGAATCAGTTCAGTGTTCCTCAGGTCTCTCTTGCCAATGTGTCTCCGTCTTCGTGGTGTGTGGCAGGCCAAGTTAAGCCTTAGTTCCTTCTGCTTCCTGTTCTCCTCACTCCATGTTCTAGCAAAGGGCAGTCAGTGTCATTTCCCATGGTTTCAGGAGTAACAATTGCTGCAACATCTGGAGGACTTGCCTTTCTGGCATTTAGTGTGGACCCATCAATCCAATCAACTACTACCAGACATTGAGGCCCTGAGCAACCTGATCTAGTTGGAGATATCCCTGTTCCTTGCAGGGGGGCTGGACTAGATGACCTTTGAAGGTCCCTTCCAGCCCTAACGATTCTATGATTCTATGATTAAAAATCCTTGGATTTTTACTGTACCACTGTATAAGCAGTAGCATTGATGTAAGGTATGTCACTAGATTGCCAGATTGAAGATGGAGTCAGGGCCCCAAGACCTGGCTAAGCATTTGAATGTAAGAAATGAGGAGCCACATATCCTGCTGTAGCAGGATCTAGACAGTTCGGCCATGTAAATGTTTTAAAGTCACAGAATTCTTGTCCTGTAAGTGAACTTTGTTCATTTTAATATGAAAACCGCACGCCCGCTGCTGAAGCTACCCGCCTCCTGAAGAAGACCCTCACCCACTGAGCATGCACATTGATTTTCTAGAAGCTTACACCTTTAACTGTAGACGAAGAAAATTTGTGCCAATCAGAAGAGGTTTTAATAGAATGATTACCAATAAAAATGTTACAGCTTATACATAAGTAATTGTGCATGCGTAAATAGCATCGTTTTGAGCACCTAGGTGTGCTAGCTTTGTGGAATTGCTACCTAGCACCCCTTTGCTGTGCAGAAAACTGGTTGTTTCCTAATTCTTCCAATCAAAATCTTAATATATGTTGCTACAACAAATCTTTTGCGTTCTATGTGCTCAAATGAATTCTAGTTAGTGTGAGGAAGTATTAGGGCTATGTGTGTCTGGCAAATGGTAAATATACTATTTGGCCCTGTTAGCTCCATTTATTGGCTATAGACATGGTGTGACACTATAGAAAGGTCAGCTGTGCCCGTTTTGAAGGTACTTTGGAAGTTCTGCTTAATTTCTTTGAAGTACAGAGTTTACGAATTTCAGTGTAGATGAAAACCTTGAGAAAAAAAAAAAAGATCAAAAAAGTACAACCTGAAATTCCAAGAGGGAAAAACAAGTTTTAATTCAAATCACATTGAGAGGCTACAGAAATCGCCTCCATCTGTGCAGATGGAAATATTGGACCTAAGTCATCCCTGCCAGACCACCATTGATGTTAACAGATTTAGTGCAGGAATGATTCTGACAAAATGCAATTACTGAATTTTCTTTAGTTATAGACCTCACACATTAATCCCATAATTGTACTGCTGAGTTCTTCTGGTCAGTAATAGTGATTTAAAAAAAAAGAAAAGCAGCTTCAGCTTGTGCAGTTACATTCTTCTTAATTTCTGTTGAATGCAGAGCCATTTTCTTGGTGCTTCATATGAATATTTTTCCTCAAAAGTGTCTTTATAGGGGATATGCCACGTATCACCTGTAGTCTGTACCACACAATCATAACGGAAAGCAGGCTGTTGGATAGAGACAGATAAAACCACTTTTTTAGACTTTCTGCAATATATTACTAAAATACCAGTTATAGGTAGTTATAACTTCCAACACTTACCTTAGAAATCTCCATAGAGTCATTTCTTTAACAACTCTCATTTATTTCCTTACACCAAAAAAATTCTAAATTTTGGAACTGAAGGAAAACTAAAACATTTTTCAGTATTTTGTGATCTAGGAGTCATTATAAGTGGTTAAAATTCTGTCTGTCTCCACCAGATAATAATGCTTTGAAAATAATGCATTCAATTTCTAGAAATAGTAAAATGATTGTTCTTCTGTTTGATTCAATGAAATCATATGGGAATTAACTCAGGATGTGGAGTTTACAGGCTTCAACTGAAAGGATTTAATGGCATTAGTGACATCTCATGCATGGTCTTCCAGTGTACCTCTTTACAGAACTGACTTGCTCTGCGCTGAGGAGGATGTAAGAAAAGGGTTTATCACTAACACTTTCGAGAACGTCTAGTCGAACAAATACAATAAACTATTTTCCCAGTCTATTATGTTCCAGGTATGCTAACTCAACATATATAACACAAATACAAAAGAAACATTACTCATTGGTAATTATGGTTCTCAGAACATACTATCACTCTGTATGTATAGTCTTGGAAGTCTACTTTCCTATGACAGCTTCCAGAATAACCTAGAAGACAGCTATGACTGGAAATGTCAATAATCGAAATTTCTTGTATGGGAATTAAGATGTGAAAATTACTAGCCCTTTCTTACAAAAGAAAGAAACGATGTGTAGCTAAAGCTGTGTTGCTCAGGTAACCGAACATTCAGTATTTAGTTCCATAAAAAGGGACGTATATATGGCAATACTGAATTAAAAGCTGTTGTTCTTATAAGCCTGTATCTCTACGGTCTGTTCGTAATGATGAATATTATATTACAATTTTAAACAGAGCAGCAAAAAAATGAATCTGCATAGATGCAGTATTCCTCTATGCAGGCAATAACAATGCAGACAGACTAAATAACAAAAACCTGCATTATATGGACTGTCACGTGATTAATTTTTCCCTAGAAAAATCTTAAAACAGCTGCACTCCTGTTAATGTACTGCTCATGTCTCACAAGGATACATGTCTCTAGACAGTAGTACTCTGCTGTAAGATGATACTATGGTTGGAAGACTGTAATTTCTGCAGCTGAATACTGACTATAAACCTGACTGTTCTGGGATTTCCTTTATGATATATGTACATATACAATGTATAACATTATACATATGTTAGGCTAATATTACAATGAATACTGAAATACCTGTATTTTCCTGCTGCTTTAAAATAAAGATGAAAGAAATTCTACTGTACAATTAGAAGCACGGTATTTTATATTAGTGCTACAGAGGAGAGTAAGGTATTTCAAAGTTTAAAATAAATAAAAAAATATTGGCACTTATGTTTTACAGCAATGCAAAGATTTGTATACACAAATATGCATTTACATTTTAAACATTTAGGCACCATTTCTTGTCTTTTTGGCAGTTTTCATGCTTGTGGCATACCTTGTGAACACAGTGAATTTTCAGTAAGCATGGGAGTTTTGAGCCCATTGGTACAAATTAATTTCTTAGACTCCAACAAGAATCTTTTTGCTTCCAGAGTTTGAAATTGTGTATCTTTAATGAACATGCTCTGTGTGCTTTCTGATTGCAGCAGAAAACTTACCAAAAAATTTATATGCTTTCCTTCTACAGAAAACGCTATTTGGTGTCCACGCTGCCACTTACGGAACAGATGACGTGTCTGACTGTCGGAAAGACAAGCCTTGTGATCCCGCAGGAAGTCTCTAGTAACAAACTTGCAATGCTTGCCTGATCGAAGAGTAGCATATAACAAGAAAGGATCATCTTCAGAGCTTAACAAAACAAATGCAAAAGACAGACGTCATTCACAAGGCAGTAAGTGGCTGCAGGAAATGAATCAAATGCTGATCTGAGATTTATTCATCAGCAACACTGAAAATTCCCATCACTACTCTAGTTCCCTGGTAAAATAAAGAACTTTGCTTACCACAGGGCACCAAAACTTAAGAGTGCAGTAAAAATTAATTGCATGCTACACAGATCATTCTTCCCTCCTATCACAATCTGATAATACAACAATAAAATCTTTTGTCACGTAACTTAACAGTGCTATGTGGAACAAAACTACTAAAACTCATAAAGGTACCCCCAAAACTTTGTTGGAATACAATCATCACAACTAATAATGAAGTGTATGTAGGCAACAGCACAAATCTGTGAATCATTGACTTTACATGGGTAAATATACTTCCAAAAGGTACTATCATTATTTGGAAAATATATTCAACATTGGCTGCTATTAAACTGAAACAGTTTCAGGGAAAAATATCTAAAAATACATTTATAGTGGGCATAAGATACCCTATAGCTGGAGAAGCTGAGCAGAACTTTGCTTGAAACCACTTTGATTGCTGTGGATTACTGTAATAGTAAGTGACAAGACATGAGATTAGCGAGGATTTCCATCCTGCAGTAACAGAGTCCCCTTTGTTGGTGCTCAGATAGAAGGAAAGAAAGCAATGTGATTCAACAGCAAAGAGGACAAGAGCCAGAACTGGAGAGGAGATGAAGGAGAACAGATCTGAAACAAGGAGCCAGACAGAAGAGACTTGGACTAGCTGTTGGGACAAGGAACTTGGTGAGAAGCTCTGGGAATTGGGATCACAGAAGAAACGGCAGAGACAGGTGAAGGATCAACAGTGCCCAACTCAGACGGAGACTAGGTGGAGTTGGAACCAAAGGAAAACTGAGCCTCCTTATATGAAAAAAGCAGGGCAAGGAGAGGGGACACTGAGGTGGAGGCAAGTACCTAGTTCAGAGACAAGGACAGGCTTGACTGGGCAAGAGCAAGGGGGTCACGCTTCTTAAATTAGAGAGGCAGAGAGTCTGTTTCCACTCACAGAAATATTCTCCTCCAGGAGCAGCAAGGAAGTCAGACACTCCACACTCCTTGGCTACCAAGCAACACTGGCCAGGCATGAACTTCATTTTCGCCCATGCAGGGCTAACACAGCAGACCACGACTGTACACTGACGCTATCAGGTATTCTCTGAGTTCAGGCCACTGTGTTCTTGGCAGTGGTTTTAACAGTTTTAAATCCTAATAAACCATACAGATGTCAACATGATTCTAAGTGATGAAATTCTCCATGATGCAGCTTTTAATATGTATTAGTTTTTGAAGCAAGTATAGCAAGGGATAGGTTTCTCTTTCACACACACAACTGGAGATACTAGTAACCATACTAAAAACTACAGCTGTTTATACTCATTTAAAATGCACATAAATCAGGTGTTGATCTCCGTTACATTTAGCCATTTTCTTAAACTTACATATTTTCGGCAAAGAAGAAGTGTGCCTTATTCTGCATCTCCTTCATAATCTCTCTTTTCCAGTTTGAAGAGTTAATCAGCATATGTTTGCGGCCCAGCACAAGCAACCGGGCATTTCCTTTTGCCAGGCAGTTGATAGCATCAAATAGCTGCAGAAAACAAAGCAAACCCAAAGATTTTCTTAGCTGTAAAAACAGACTGACAGGAAACACTTTCACATCTGTGTCTCAACTTGTGGGACTTCTAGCATACCCTCATTTCTCACTGTTCTAAACTGCAATATGAATTAAGTAGATAAGTAATTTAACTCCCTAATGACAAAGAAAAAAAATCCAAAACAATTCACCGTAAGAAGCGGCTCTCGAACACACAGAGAATACATTGCTATTGTAAACCTTTTCCAGCTCTTGCAGCTTGAACGACATGAATAAACTCAGGAGGAGTTGTATGCAGATCTCAGAAATTCAGAGTCAGCTGAGGGAACTGAATCACATTGGGATTTAAGTAATAATCTACTTTTGAAAGTGATTCAGCAGCGAAGCCTTTGCTGGTGTTAAGAGGACGGAGCCCTAAACCACGTTGCTTTTCCAGCCCCACCTATTGTCGAAATTAGGGAACTACATGTGATTCGGGCTGCCCTGTGGGGCAGAAGTGAGCAGCAGAAAAAGGAAATCTGTGACCTCAGGATTAAGGGTTTATGAAAGCCACATCCAGACTAGCCTCCCACTTACGAACCAACATCCTGAGGCAGCAAATCCACTGCTACGCCAGCTTCTCTTCAGAGAGACTTTTCACCAGCCTCTTAGGGCTGTGCCTGTTCAGCAATAAATGCTTCTCAGGACAGGCACTTGTGCCTGTGGCTTTCCCTCCACGTTTCAGTCAGACAGAGCTGCTGGAGGGCAAAAGTTCTGGCTTTCAGCATCCAAGTTATTACTGTGGCCTGCTCACAAAGCAATGGTCTTTCAATTCTGCCCAGAAAGAGAGAAGACCTGTTTCTTGAGTCTGAAGCATCATGTTTGAAGGCTGCAGACAGTTATGCTCAATGTCCAGGCTAGGATCCAGCTCCCTTAAGCCTTGCTTTCTGAAGGTTTTAACTAGTGTCACTTTGTACCTGTTAGTCATACAGATTTTCTTCTACATATTATTAGCATATGAGGTTCTCTAGTATGAAGTGCTTCTGGGAAAAAATTAAGGGGTTGGTATAAATCAGCTACAGTTTTGCAATGGAAAAATTAAAACAGGCTTAAATCGTAATCAAATTAACGGGAATCATCATTAAAAAAAATTAGAAACTCCTGCTTGCATAACAGCACACTGTCTCTCCTCTATTTACCACAAAGACTAACTTTCACTTGCACAACTAAAACATGGAAGATATACATTATTTTTGCTTTCACAAGACAAAAATAATTCTGTTCTGCATACTCCCTTGCCTGATGCAACTCTACTGAAGAGCATTTTATCACATTTTAGGCTCAGGCCCTTAACAGGGGTGGTCTACAGGGAGTCACAGAACTTACGTGGGGGTTTCCTAAGTGTGTCTACTCCCACGCCTGGCTGCTTCTCAAGAAAGGAAGATGTGAGACACACAGTAACACTTGTTTTAGTCATAGAGGAAACTGAACATAATACTGTTAACAAAAAAACAGCAGTAGTGATCTGTCACTTAAAAAGACATGAGTATTTTATTCATCTAGTATTTCCAAAGGTTGCCTAAAAATTATTGTTATCTATGACTACACAATGCAAATACGCTGTATGCAATAAGCTCTATGTAGATCCACCCTTTGAACGTTCCCACATTATTCAGGCAGCAAACATCAGATACCCAGCTGAATAATCTGTTCAAAAGGCAATCTGTGCAAAACATGAAAAAATATACAACACGCATATTCCCTATGCTATTCGTTTTCTTGAGAATGAGGATTACAAAATTAGTGAAAGAATGACTTTTTGTGAATAATAGTATCTTTCAAATTTGGACAGCAGAGCATATAAAACCACGTTTTCTCTGAAAACAGGAATTAGAAGATGCCATTTTGCACAGAAGGGAAAATATGCATGGTTAGACTGGCTGCTTCAATTCCTATGGCAAGATGTGGCAGAGGCAGAGTAGCAAGAAGTTGTGAATCGCTCCTGTTCCACACAAATCACTGGCCACACAACAAGGCACTAGAGTATTACTGGATTATATAGATAACTATCATTGCAGTCTTATTTTCAATTTTTCCTCTGACAGGGCACATCAGGATCCATGTTTCTTTCTGAACTACACAGAGATTTTAATCAACTGTTTGTGAAGATCACTAGATCCTTCTCCAAGAAACTCAATGCTCATTAGCATCTACTGAAACACCTTACGTTCTGTTTGCAATCCCTTTCATCATTTATCAGTTACATTTAAATTATTCCCGTGCTGCCCCAGCCTTTGTTTAATTAGATCTTTCTCACTCTTCTCCTAAACCTTAACATTTACCTTACAATGCAAACAATTTCGTGTAGCAAATGACTCTGATGGAGCCAGGGTGCAGCCACGAAGAACTATGAAACTACACACAGATCAATGGAAGAGTCAAGACCAGCTGTTAACATATTAAGTATTCCCCAATGTAGTTCTTCTAAGCACACTCCTAATAATTTGTCTGTGATTTTTTTTTAATTATTAAAAGTAATACATAATTAAATGGATGTATGTATCCAGTGTGCATGTTCTAACTCTGATTTCTGCACCCTAATCTGTGATCAGTGAAAAACTAGCACGCTTGTACAATACTTTGGCTGAGTGTATACACTTATCGTTCCTTGGGACAGTCCCAGAGATACGAGCTACTTCCCCACATGTAAATGAGTTCTTTTTTGTTTCTGCAGCAATGCCATTTTATGGAATTACCCCTCCACCACCAAGCTCCTGCCCTCATACCACAAAGCACCTTTTTTTTTTTTTCTGTTGTGCTGATATAATCTATTTGTTGGGCCATGTTGTCAACCAGATCATGGCACAATCACAACTGCACTCACACACACCAGAGCAAGAACTTCTGGATCAGACGAGCCAGAGTGAAAAGAGGTGGGGAGGCAGAGCAGTGGGACGGAAAACGCATACTCCGCAGGATCATGTTGATGCTGAGCTCTCCGCATCACGTAAAAAGCCTGAGCTTTGCAAATATGAAATAAAGCAACTGAAAATGCTTTAACTGGTAGTTTTACATTTTAAAAATAAGCAAGTTATACCTTAAAAGAACCACTTTTCAGGCAAGAATAAATATTAATGGTTTCCCATCGGAAGGGAACTTTTCTATACAAATTCCTGGAAATAGTTTTGCAGTGACCCACATTCACAATTCTGCAGAATTTAATGGGGATCAAACATAAGAGTTAAGCTGGGACAGCAGGGAATCCTTGTCTCACTGCAAGATTAATCCACATTCTTTAAACTCCACAACAGCCTTATGAAGTAAATGCATAATTACATCTCCATTTTACACAAGTGCATAATGGTGCACAAGGAAGACATTAATTACCTCATACAAGGAACTATGAGCACAGTAGGATACATAATTCCTAAGGCTTCACTGCCAGTCACCTGTTCTGATCACTACATCACCCTGTGCCACATGTCCCAGTTTCAAAGGTTAGCTTGCTGCAGGACAGCCTGTCTCCTTGGACACTACCGGTGGTTTCCCACTTGTCAGATGGGAAACCCCTGAACCTCACTGCTGGGAGGCACAGCATTCAATGACTCAGCAAAAAGTGGCTCACCTGGATACAGGTATAGCATGAAGAAGTAATCACCTTAAAAAAGTTTAAATCAGATTTGTTGTTAATAAATCATGTTTGCCATTTTCTAAACATTTTGGTGGGTTTTTTTAATGTCACTGCCATTTAAAAGTGAAACACACCTACAATCAGGTTATCTGCTAATAACACCAACAAACTGCTCTATTATTGTTATTTTCACCTGTCGTTAGTGCTGCCTCCCACCACCACTGTAGCTGTGAAACTGCAGAGGAAACCCCACGCTGACCACAGGTGCACTGTCAGCTGGGGCTGAGCATAAGTGATCTCTCCAAAGGTTAGCAAGGAATCCGTTCCCACCATCACCGCATTTATTTGACTTACAGTTTCATAATTTTTAGTTCCCTTTTTACATACTGTAGACAAAGAAGCTCAAAAACCCTGCGTACTTTAGTACCACACACAGGAGAGAGACACAGTGGGAAGGAGGATTTTTTTCCCATGGCATGGCCAGTTACTCAGGGAAGGCAAAGGGTACTGCTTGCAAGAAAGGCTGGGACTTTCCCACTGAGTCTGGTAATTTCACCAAAGCAGATTCAATACCATTATTGCAGCACCTAACACAATGGAAGCTGCTTCTTACATTCTCCATGTTATTACTGATGATGCAATGTAAATTAGTTGCCAAGTCCTCTTTATTCAAATGGAGGGGCAGCACATGCATTTCTTGATCCCCTACAGATGATCTGCCCCCCCCGGCCAGCAAGGGGATAGCTACTTAGAAGGGAAAGCAGTAACAGATGAGTAAATAACAGTCACTAAGTTTAATCAGCCTGGTTTACTTTATGCTCTTGAGACAGCCAACAGCTAACTCTTGGGAATTACCCCTTACGACACTGGGGATCTCTGCAATACTGCAGAAAAATATTGTTGGGAATATTTGTATCTTGTGTTACAGTAGGACTATTTAGATTGATGCAACACACATCATTATGCAAAACTCTACCAGTGACAGCACTTCACACAGGAATCACACAACGTTTAACATGTTTTAACCTGTCTACATTGACTCCACACCTAGTATTGACTTATCCTCTCTTGACGCATTCACTAGAGATACGTCTTAACTCCCCATCACAATTCATTTAAATCTGCAGTTCATTTTTAGATGCCAGATTTTGTTCTTGCCTTCACAGTCAACTCTATTAATCAAAGGCAGATTATTGATTGAGCAGGAAAACTAAACCATAGAAGCAAAGATACCAAGTTGATTGAGGATGCTACGGTAGCCTCAGTTTGCTCAGATGAGGTGATGCCTAAATATAGCTCTGCTGTTTTCAGGGTAAGTTTGTATCCAGAGGATGCTTTTGCAGCCTGGTCCAAACTGATTGTGTATTAAGACACCCCCTGCCCC